GGTTAAACTTTTTTGATTTTCCTAATTAATTAAAAAAATTTATTTGTAAAATTGATAACTGTTTGATAAAATTTTATCAATCTTAAGATTATATTCCAATTACCATAATTAATTTACGGCTGAAATTTTATGGAAGTGTTGGAATGCCTATGCAAATTTCCTAAACAGGGCTTTTAAAATAAGCTAGGATTACATAGTACCTTATGTTTAACAGAAGTGTCCCACTTTTTTCCCAATTTTTTATATTAAGGAAATAGTGTAAATCAGACGATTAGATCTAAAGTTATAATCTTTTAAACTGTTTAAAATCATTTCGGGCCATGTTTTATTAATCAAATTTAAACATAAACATTAAGTTTTTCATATTAAAATATATTTGTTTTATTTATAATGAAAAACCGGTTAACCGGCTTTTTCTGAATTTGAAAAATATCAACCGTTTTTTTTTTAAATGTCAAGTATTCGAAAACCGGTTTTTGGAAAATGTCGAATAATCGATCACCTAATAGATAGATATATTAAAAGATAGTTAGATCGGTATTTGTTTTAAAAACGAAATTATCGATTCATGTTCGATGTAACATTCTTTTTTTTTGCGGTGTCCAAAACCAATTCCAATTCTGTTCTATGATAACCCTGATAAAATTTTAATTATGTTTTACGACATTCGCTACCATTCTCTTTAAAAATATAATACTTACATATTTCCCTTTAAATACTAACTAAAATCCTATTAAATAGACAGAAAAAATACTGATTTATACATAAATAATTGTCTTAAGTACTACATTCAAATAAGAAGAGGAAATTGTTTGGTCTTCCAATGACTTGAGTTGATGTGAAAAGTTTCCGAGTACATACTTACAAACATACAATGCAATTTATTTTACTTAAAAACTACTTCACTTCAATACATTTCATATTGTCTCATAATGATTTTCGTTTTTGTTACTTGTCAAAAAAAAACTCCCCAAAAAAATACCAGATATTTGTTTGGTAATTTACAAAAATAAAATCTAGGGGTAATCACAGGTTGTGACAAAAAAATCCTTTAAAATTTAAATATTAATTTTAGAAATAAAAAGCTTAGTCATTCGAGACCAAGCATTAGTATTTGTGTGAAAATTAAGTTGCTAAGCAAGGTACTTACTAAACTTTGAATACTACTAATATATTTTTACATAAGTTTAAGATTCCTTCTCTCTTTTTTTACTTAATTTTCTTTGAATGATAAATATAAGCTTGTTAAGGACATTAAGGACATCTGCTCATTCAGCATAAATAATATTTAGTTTTTCTTTTTGCTATTTTCATTTTTGTCGAACATAAACAAACCCCCAAATAACAAGTATAAAAAGTTTTCTTTTTGAACAACAAAAGAAAAACAAATATAAATAGTCCAAGAGCAAAAAAAAGTACAATAAACATAAACTATCATAAAAATATTGTCATATAAATGGTAATAAAACATGACAGTCGGTTTTTTTCCTTTTGTGATTTTTCCAATTTTTTTTCTTACTTATATTTTGGTTCTTTGTAAAAGGATGTGCAGTAACTCAGATATCCAAAAAGAATAAATCGTTTATAGTTAGTTGTGATTTTTTTTCCTGTTTTAGGCAATAAACGATTTATTGACAGTTAAGTTTCGGTAACTTTTTCTACTTTTTAAATTGGAAACAATAAATAAAACTTGAAGTATTGGAAGAGACAATAAGTATAATTAAAAGAACTAGAACATAAATAAAACGGAAAAATAGAACAGTACTACAACAGAAATAGAAGAGAACAAGAACAAAACTAGAACAGAACAGAACTAGAACAGAACTAGAACAGAACTAGAACAGAACTAGAACAGAACTAGAACAGAACTAGAACAGAACTAGAACAGAACTAGAACAGAACAAGAACAGAACTAGAACAGAACTAGAACAGAACTAGAACAGAACTAGAACAGAACTAGAACAGAACTAGAACAGAACTAGAACAGAACTAGAACAGAATTAGAACAGAACTAGAACAGAACTAGAACAGAACTAGAACAGAACTAGAACAGAACTAGAACAGAACTAGAACAGAACAAGAACAAGAACAGAACTAGAACTAGAACAGAACTAGAACTAGAACAGAACTAGAACTAGAACAGAACTAGAACAGAACTAGAACAGAACTAGAACAGAACTAGAACAGAACTAGAACAGAACTAGAACAGAACTAGAACAGAACTAGAACAGAACTAGAACAGAACAAGAACAGAACTAGAACAGAACTAGAACAGAACTAGAACAGAACTAGAACAGAACTAGAACAGAACTAGAACAGAACTAGAACAGAACTAGAACAGAACTAGAACAGAACTAGAACAGAACTAGAACAGAACTAGAACAGAACTAGAACAGAACTAGAACAGAACTAGAACTAGAACAGAACTAGAACTAGAACAGAACTAGAACTAGAACAGAACTAGAACAGAACTAGAACAGAACTAGAACAGAACTAGAACAGAACTAGAACAGAACTAGAACAGAACTAGAACAGAACTAGAACAGAACTAGAACAGAACTAGAACAGAACTGGAACAGAACTAGAACTGAACTAGAACAGAACTAGAACAGAACTAGAACAGAACTAGAACAGAACTAGAACAGAACTAGAACAGAACTAGAACAGAACTAGAACAGAACTAGAACAGAACTAGATCAGAACTAGATCAGAACTAGAACACAACTAGAACAGAACTAGAACAGAACTAGAACAGAACTAGACCAGAACTAGACCAGAAATAGACCAGAACTAGAACAGAACTAGAACAGAACTAGAACAGAACTAGAACAGAACTAGAACTGAACTAGAACTGAACTATAACAGAACTAGAACAGAACTAGAACAGAACTAGAACTGAACTAGAACAGTACTAGAACAGAACTAGAACTGAACTAGAACGTAACTAGAACAGAACTAGAACAGAACTAGAACTGAACTAGAACTGAACTAGAACAGAACTAGAATAGAACTAGAACAGAACTAGAACAGAACTAGAACAGAACTAGAACAGAACTAGAACAGAACTAGAACAGAACTAGAACAGAACTAGAACAGAACTAGAACAGATCTAGAACTGAACTAGAACTAGAACAGAACTAGAACAGAACTAGAACAGAACTAGAACAGAACTAGAACAGAACTAGAACAGAACTAGAACAGAACTAGAACAGAACTAGAACAGAACTAGAACAGAACTAGAACAGAACTAGAACAGAACTAGAACAGAACTAGAACAGAACTACAACAGAACTAGAACAGAACTAGAACAGAACTAGAACAGAACTAGAACAGAACTAGAACAGAACTAGAACAGAACTAGAACAGAACTAGAACAGAACTAGAACAGAACTAGAACAGAACTAGAACAGAACTAGAACAGAACTAGAACAGAACTAGAACAGAACTAGAACAGAACTAGAACAGAACTAGAACAGAACTAGAACAGAACTAGAACAGAACTAGAACAGAACTAGAACAGAACTAGAACAGAACTAGAACAGAACTAGAACAGAACTAGAACAGAACTAGAACAGAACTAGAACAGAACTAGAACAGAACTAGAACAGAACTAGAACAGAACTAGACAAGAAGAGAACTAGAACAAAACTAGAACTAGAACAGAACTAGAACAGAACTAGAACAGAACTAGAACAGAACTAGAACAGAACTAGAACAGAACCAGAACAGAACTAGAACAGAACTAGAATACAACTAGAACAGAACTAGAACAGAACTAGAACAGAACTAGAACAGAACTAGAATAGAACTAGAATAGAACTAGAATAGAACTAGAATAGAACTAGAACAGAACTAGAACAGAACTAGAACAGAACTAGAACAGAACTAGAACAGAACTAGAACAGAACTAGAACAGAACTAGAACAGAACTAGAACTGAACTAGAACAGAACTAGAACAGAACTAGAACAGATCTAGAACAGAACTAGAACAGAACTAGAACAAAACTAGAACTGAACTAGAACTGAACTAGAACTGAACTGGAACTGAGCTAGAAATGAACTTGAACTGAACTTGAGCTGAACTTGAACTAGAACTAAACTAGCCCAGAAAGAACAGAACTAGTAAAGATGAAATTGAAGAAAATTTGAACTATTGTAACAGGGATCAGTCCAGTTTGTATGTAGTCCCAATTTAAGGTCCAAGGAACTTAAACGTTTAATTTTATTACTTATATCTTATTAACCATTAATTATATGTAAATGTCCTAATATTGCATTAAACTTAAAATTTTACTTCTAATTTAAATTCATTATTTATTTAAAATGTTTTCGTAATTGTGTATTAATGATTTTATACTTAAATAACTAATAAATTAAACAAACGCCCTGAAGCATACTTTAATAATGTTGAATTTTAAACAAACATCTTTCTCTTTCTCTAATTACTAATACATACTACTCGCATTTTCTGGCGTTGTTCTAACAAATAATAAATAAATAAATAAAATATTTTAAATATTTAAATAACCATAAAATTTAAACAAATAACAGCACACTCTCTCTCCCTCTGTCTCTCTCTTAAACACTTTCTGTTATTTTATTTTTAATTATTACAATTTTAATCTAAAACCAATAAATATTTTTAATTTTCTTAAAATATCTCTTAACAAAACCATCACTCATACTAACATTTATTGTTGTTTTTATTTATATTATTATTCTCTTCATTTGTTATACTTGTACTTCATATTTATTATTATTATTTCTATTATTATTGTAATGAGTCATAGAATTTGTATTTGTCTTTATTATGATATAAAAATCACCAACCAAAAATATCAAGCGAAAAAAAACTTAACGTAATATTTTTCTCTTACTCTTCCTATCGCTCACTTACTCAAACCTATTCGTCGCCTATAAATTTGCTGTCTGCGCTCTCGTGTAAATTTTGAAATATATAATAAAATATAAAATCAAAATGTTATAAAAACAAAAACAGCTGGTGGCATTAATACTCAAGGAGGCACCAATATACACGATTTGGATACAAACAGCATCAACAGTTTGCCACCAGAGACTAAAATAATCGAACAGACCACAGGCAACGAAGTTTTAATCATGAATGCCAACGATGACGATAGAACGGCGAGCTTCTTTGCTCAACCAGGCATTTTAGGCGGGTATGTAAAAATTCCATATTTTTTATTTCAAATTATTAATTTCTTTAAGTGTTTTTGGTTATATTTTTTAAGTGGGAATAGCTATTTGGTTTAAGATGAAGGACATATTTAATGGTCGTTTTCAAATTATTCAAAATCCTTAATCCATATGAGGGACGAATAAAGCTTTTACTATTTTCTATATTCTAGTCTATAGCCTATTATAACTTACTTTATAATAGCCTATATACTGGACTATAATTTGTAACTGAACTGAACTGAACAAGAACTGAACTAGAACTCAACTAGAACTCAACTAGAACTCAACTAGAACTGAACTAGAACTGAACTAGAACTGAACTAGAACTGAACTAGAACTGAACTAGAACTGAACTAGAACTGAACTGAACTAGAACTGAACTAGAACTGAACTAGAACTGAACTAGAACTGAACTAGAACTGAACTAGAACTGAACTAGAACTGAACTAGAACTGAACTAGAACTGAACTAGAACTGAACTAGAACTGAACTAGAACTGAACTAGAACTGAACTAGAACTGAACTAGAACTGAACTAGAACTGAACTAGAACTGAACTAGAACTGAACTAGAACTGAACTAGAACTGAACTAGAACTGAACTAGAACTGAACTAGAACTGAACTAGAACTGAACTAGAACTGAACTAGAACTGAACTAGAACTAGAACTGAACTAGAACTGAACTAGAACTGAACTAGAACTTAACTAGAACTGAACTTAACTGAACTAGAACTGAACTAGAACTGAACTTGAACTGAACTTGAACTGAACTTGAACTGAACTTGAACTGAACTAGAACTGAACTAGAACTGAACTAGAACAGAAAAGAACAGAACTAGAACAGAACTAGAACAGAACTAGAACAGAACTAGAACAGAACTAGAACAGAACTAGAATAGAACTAGAACAGAATAGAACAGAACAGAACATAACAGAACAAAACAGAACAGAACAAAACAGAACAAAACAGAACAGAACTAGAATAGAACTAGAACAAAACTAGAACAGAACTAGAACAGAACTAGAACAGAAATAGAACAGAACTAGAACAGAACTAGAACAGAACTAGAACTGAACTAGAACTGAACTAGAACCGAACTAGAACAGAACTAGAACAGAACTAGAACAGAACTAGAACAGAACTAGAACAGAACTAGAACAGAACTAGAACAGAACTAGAACAGAACTAGAACAGAACTAGAACAGAACTAGAACAGAACTAGAACAGAACTAGAACTAGAACTGAACTAGAACTGAACTAGAACTGAACTAGAACTGAACTAGAACTGAACTAGAACTGAACTAGAACTGAACTAGAACTGAACTAGAACTGAACTAGAACTGAACTAGAACTGAACTAGAACTGAACTAGAACTGAACTAGAACTGAACTAGAACAGAACTAGAACTATACTAGAACTTAACTAGAACTGAACTTCAATGAACCCCATTTTTAAATCAGGCTAATTTTGTTATTTCCCCCAGAGTAATTACAAGTTAAAACTTCATCATTATTTATTCTTAGAAAAAAATTCATTCTTTCAATCTACTCTTTCTTTTATAATAAAAATTGTTCTTTAATAAATTATGAAGTAATTGAAATTACAAATTCAAATGCTATTTCCAATTGAGGTTCTTGCGGTTCACGTAGTTTTCTAAATGTTACTGTTTGCAATCAGTACGTCTTTGTATTTCATTTAAAACTCATGAAATGTTTAAAAATAAAAAGTATTATTTACAAATAAAATGCAAATGAAATTGTGATAAGAAAACATAAAATAACAGAAATTTAAATAAAAAAAAAATATCTAAAATTTAATTTTAGTAAATAAAAGACTTTGTTAAATTTTACATTTCGGCGGGTAGTTTATCAAACAAGTGTTTGTTTTAAATGAAATAATCATTAAACTAATTTACGAGAAATTTTTAAATATTCATCAAGTTCTAAGAAGAGTAGAAGATTAGTGTAGAAAGTGAAATTGATTTAAAAATGGTTTTAAAATAAAGAATTTTAGAAAAGAAACATTTATTTGGAGGGTTTCTATATAAACATGGATACTACGGATGCAAGTGGGGTTTTGATTTTTATAAATTTTTCTAATTTTGCAAAAAATGTGTATTAAATTATTTAATTTATTTTCTTTCTCTATACAGCTGTTATTGGTGGTGCCGTTGTTGGTCTTTTGTGCGCCATTTTGGTTGTTATGTTCATTGTCTATCGCATGAGAAAAAAGGATGAGGGTTCCTATGCTCTCGATGAACCCAAACGATCACCTGCTATGAATTCCTATGCGAAAAATGCAACAAATCGAGAATTTTATGCCTGAGATAATGCAGAACGACGTTATTAAAAGAATTTAATACAAATACAAATAACAACAAACTAATATAACAACAACAACAACAAACACAATATGTATAACAAATTATAAAATAATAAACAAAATAATTAACAAAAAGAAATGGATTTTAAAATAAAGGAAAAATAGCAACATCACTCATATTTCTCTTTATACCGAAAAAAAAGAACAAAATAATCTAATGAAAAAAAACACAAATCTTTTTTACAACAACAAAAACACTGCATTAACAACAAATAAAAAATTTATAATAAAAAAAAATTTAAAGAAAAAAACAATTTAACAGCAGCATCATGAACATGAAGTAAAACTTTTTTCAAAAAAAAAATAAAAACATTTAGTTGTAATTTTTCTATAATATATTTACTTACATATACATACATACATGCTCTAAATATGTATATTTTCGAACATTAACACAACAACAAAATTGTATTATTAAAAATTTTTAATTTTAACAAAATTTTGTAGGAAAAAAAAAACACAAAAACAAATTTGCTAAAATCATGTACTAATTTTTAGGAAATAATGAACTTGTTTTAAGTTTAATTTTTTTTGAAATTTTCTATAACGAAAGAAATTATTTAGAAAAATGTATTTTTGAAATTTTTCACTTCTGGAATTTTTCGCGAGTTTTAAGATTTTCAAAAAATTTTGATCTAAAAATTCTTATTTTAAAAAAAATAGAAAAGAGGACATATATATTAGTACTCGCTATGCACCTCATATCCGAGGCAAAATGATCAGAGATTACTTTTTGACTCAAGTATCAAGTCTATGACCTATTAACACTTTTATTTAAGAATACTCATTGTATGGACTGGTCTATAGTCTTGTATATTGTCTAGACTATACTCTGTTCTGTAGTCCGGTCTGATCTATAGTTATGTCTATTGTCTGAATTAGAGTCTAGTCAACGGTCTGGTCTAAAGTTCATTCTATAGTCAGGACTGTAGGTTAGTCTACAATCGGAACTATAGCCTGGACTAGAGTTTAATCTATAGTCTTGTCTATAGACTAATCTACAAAACACAATATGTATAACAAACTGGACTAGAGTCTAATCTATAGTCTGATCTATTGTCTTGTCTATAGACTAATCTATAGTCTGATCTATATTCTTGTCTATAGACTAATCTATTGTCTGATCTATAGTCTTGTCTATATACTAATCTATAGTCTGATCTATAGTCTAATCTATAGTCAGATATATAGTCTTGTCTATACACTAATCTATTGTCTGATCTATAAAGTAGTCTATAGTCTGATATGGAGTATTCTAAAGTCTGAACTATAGATCTTTTTGATCTAGAGTCTAGACTATAGTTTGACTGTAATAGGTCTACAGACTGGTCTTTAGCTTATTCTATAGTCTGGACTTTAGTTTAGTCCATAGTCTGAACTTTAGTCTAAAGTCTGGACTATAGTTTAGTCTATAGTTAGAACTAGAGTTTACTCTATAAAGCTCTATAGTCTAAACTATAGTTTAATCTATAGTCTGAACTGTAGTTTAATTTATAGTCTGGATTATAGTCCATAGTGTGGACTATGGTTTAGTCTATAGTGTGGACTGTAGTTTAGTCTGGACTATATAGTATTGTCTATATTCTGGACTATAGTTTAGTCTATAGTCTAGACTTTAATCGAAAATCAGGACAGTAGATTTAATACAGGTCTATTGTTTGAACTATAGTTTAACCTACAGTCTGGAGTATAGTCCATAGTGTGGACTATGGTTTAGTTGAACTATTTCAAACTATATAGTTTCAACTATATGTCTATAGTATTGAATATAGTATAGTCTGTAGTCTGGACTATAGTTTAGTCTATAGTCTAGACTTTAATCTAAAGTCTAGACAGCAGATTTATTACAGTTTGGTCTATATACTCAACTATAATTTGGTCTATTGTTTGAACTATAGTTTAGTCTATAGTCTGAACTATAGTTTAGTCTATAGTATGAACAATAGTTCAGTCAATAGTCTGGATTATTGTCCGAAGTTTGGACTATGGTTTAGTCTATAGTGTGGACTATAATTTAGTCTGGACTATATGTCTATAGTCTTGAATGTAGTATAGTCTATATTCTGGACTTTAGTTTAGTCTATAGTTTAGTCTTTAACCTATTGTCTGGACTGTAGATTTACTACAGTTTGGTCTATATACTCAACTATAATTTGGTCTATTGTTTGAATTATAATTTAGTCTATAGTCTAGACTTTAATCTAAAGTCTGGACAGTAGATTTACCATAGTTTGGTCTATATACTTAACTATAATTTGGTCCATTGTTTGAATTATAGTTTAGTCTATAGTCTGAACAATAGTTTAGTCTATAGTCTGAACAATAGTTCAGTCAATAGTCTGGATTATTGTCCGAAGTTTGGACTATGGTTTAGTCTATAGAATGGACTAGAGTTTAGCCTATAGTCTGGACTGTAGTTTAGTCTATAGTCTATACTATAGTCTAAGTTTTATATAAAGTCTGGACTATTGATTTACTACAGTCCGTAGTCTTTACTATATTTTGTAATTTGAACTATAGTTTAATCTACAGTCAGGACTATAGTTTAGTCTATGGTCTGATCTATTGTGTTTTATATAGTCAGAACTATAGTTTAGTCGTTATTCTAATCTAATGTCTATACTATAGACAGCTCTACAGACTAGTCTTTAGTTTATTCTATAGTTTAGACTACAGTTTAGCTTATAATCTGGGCAATAGTTTAGTCTATAGTTTAGACTATAGTCTGATACATATGTATCTATTGTCAGGACTATAGTCTAGTCTACAGTGTGGTTAATTATATAATCTGGACTAGACGCTGATCTATAGTCTGGTCTAAAGTTTTGACAAAAGTCTGATCTATAGACTAGTCAATAGTCTGGTCTAGTTATTCTATAGACTAGTCTACAGTTTAGTCTATAGGTTATTTTATAGTCTGGACTGCAGTTTAATTTACAATCTTAACTATAGTCTGGACTAGAGACTGTTATGTAGTCTGGCCTACCGTTTAGGCAATAGTCTAATATGTAGTAAGATCTTGTCTATTGTCTGGACTATAGTCTTATCAGTAAACTAGTCGACAGTTTATTCTACAACCTGGACTGCAGTTTAGTCTACAATCATTACTGGACTAAAGTCTGGTCGGTAGTCTTGTATATTATCTAAACTATAGACTGATTTATTGTCTAGACAATAGGCTGGTCTATAGTTTAGTCTATAGTTTCAACAATAGTCTGGTCTATAATCGTTTCTGTTCTGTTAATCCTAAATTAGTTTTTATATAAAAACTTAGTTTAGGAATTAATGTTGAAATTTTTTTAACCCGATCTTTTCTGAATTGTAAATTAAATTTAGCAAAAATACATTTTTTTAAATAATTTCATTTAACAAAATTATGCTTTCTACAAACGAATTACAAACGAAATTGTATAATTTTATATAAAAAAAAACACAATTATAAATTAAAACTTTTTTTCTAAATATTAACAAAACTAACCTCTTAAAAAATGTTAATAATTTCAGTTTATGCTAAAAAAAAATTGTTTATATTTTCAAACATTTTATATAAAAATTTAAAAAGAAAGCTGAACTAATTAATTAACTTATAAACCAAAATTTAACATTTCTTAAAAAACTTGTTTTAACATGTATGTAATTGTAATAAATAATTAAATTTATTAAATTTTTTTTTTAATTTCATTATGCTATACATTTTTTTTATATACATATATTTTGTCTATTAATGATATATAATAATAACAACAACAAAAAACGTACTACTAAAACACACTCGAAAAAAAATCAATTATAAGTTTAATTAAAAAGAAAAAAAACAAGAAAGAAACTCATAAAAAAGTAAAAAATTAAAAAAAAAAAATAATTATATTATTATATAAGTATAAACAGAAAAAAAAAATAAATGTAATATTTAGTGTAATTCTTATATAAATATATATATATATATATAAAAAGAATATAAAAAAAGTATTGTAAGCTGAGAAAAATATTAAAAAAAACTATTAGTTCTTAAATAAGTAAAGGAAAAACCTTAAGAAAAATAGTATTTGAAAATAAAAATTTGGAACTTTTTTTTTCCCCTCAAACTTTTTCTATAAAACAATAAAAATATATGAAAAACAAAGAAAGAAAAAAACAAAACCTTTATATAGAAATTTTGAAAACTAAAACAGAAATTATATCAAATACTTAAAAAAATATAATAAAAATACTAAAATGAATTAAATTGATTTTGTAAAATTTTTAGAAGAAAATATTAAGTAAAAATATAAATGAAGTAAAAATTATGTAGAAAAGAATTGGTTACAAATGGCAACAATTTTAAGGATTATATTACAGGGGCTAAGGAAACTAGGAAAACTAGAAATCTGTGAGTTTTTTTTCAAAATTTGTCTACAAACTGGTTCTGGTCCAAACTATAGTTTGGACTGAGGTGTGGGAAATAGTTTAGTCTATATTCAGTACTATAGTTTACTCTATAGTCTGAACTATAGATTAGTCTTTAGTCCAGACTATAGTTTAGTCTGGATCTAGACTATAGACAGATCTATAGTCTGGACTATAGATCAGTCCATAGTCTGGACTATAGATCAGTCTATAGTCTGGACTATAGATCAGTCTATAGCCTGGACTATAGATCAGTCTATAGCCTGGACTATAGATCAGTCTATAGTCTGGACTATAGATCAGTCCATAGTCTGGACTATAGATCAGTCTATAGTCTGGACTATAGATCAGTCTATAGTCTGAACTATAGATCAGTCTATAGTCTGAACTATAGATCAGTCTATAGTCTGGACTATAGATCAGTCTATAGTCTGGACTATAGATCAGTCTATAGTCTGAACTATAGATCAGTCTATAGTCTGAACTATAGATCAGTCTATAGTCTGAACTATAGATCAGTCTATAGTCTGAACTATAGATCAGTCTATAGTCTGGACTATAGATCAGTCTATAGTCTGGACTATAGATCAGTCCATAGTCTGGACTATAGATCAGTCTATAGTCTGGACTATAGATCAGTCTATAGTCTGAACTATAGATCAGTCTATAGTCTGGACTATAGATCAGTCTATAGCCTGGACTATAGATCAGTCTATAGCCTGGGCTATAGATCAGTCTATAGCCTGGACTATAGATCAGTCTATAGTCTGGACTATAGATCAGTCTATAGTCTGGACTATAGATCAGTC